CGCCAGTCCAAAGACCCAAAAAACCAGCGCTCCCCACTCGAGGCTCCCCATGTGCTGGGGGCCCACCCTCCGGGAGCCACCAGGCAGGAAGCTAGCCAGCCGGAAGACTGGCGCTCCCCACCTGTGGCTCCCTGCGCGCCGGAAGCCCTCCTTCCGGGGAACGACAAGGCTGGGAGTGAGTCGCCGGTCCAAAGATCATGCGCTGGCTTTTATAGACCAGATTTACTTCTCTGCCGCTTCTCGACCGCCTGCTGCGCCTGCCGCCCTTCTCTACACTGGTCCAGCTTTGCATTGTCACTGTTGTGCAAATATGAGTCGCCTGAGAACTAAACAGTGCATTGGCTGGTGCTGTTTTTGTCCTCTGATTGTCTTTATTGGTGCTGTCATACAAGCATTTCCCCCCAGTGCCCATGAAGCAGAACCTTTTCTTTCTTTTTTCCCTTCCTTCCTTTCTTTCTCTTCCTTCCTGTGGTGGATTGACAACTGGTGGTCAACTCGTAACACCCAGCTGAACTGAACCAGCATGGTGCTGGGTGTGGAAGGTCCCCCTGAGAGTTGTTGCCAACAGTACAAGAGGCAGAACTGGAGAAGAAGAAGAGTGCTGTTAGGGGGCTGTTGGTTCTCCTGGAGGAGCTTGTCACGCTGGCTTTCCTGATATGAATGCGGCTGATATGAACTTTCCTGATATGGACGCAGCTGTTTTCATCAGCATAGGAGCTCAGGACCTCACTGTTGCTGAGGATGCTTGTGGTCCATTATGGGAGAGCTCTGGTTTTTACTTTGAGCATCACTTCCTGGATCCAGTGCCAATTCCTCAGCCTGATAGCACAGATCCTTCATCCCGCTGGCACAGACTTCTAGCTTCTACCACTGACCTTTGGGCCTTCCCAGCACAGATCCATAAAACAGTCCTGCATGAGACATTGTTGTGGGCTCTAGGCCTCCAATTGCACTCGTGGGAGGCGTTGTGATAGGTTCTAGGTCTTTAGCTTGACTCATGCAGGACATTGCCATGAGATCCAGGCCCTCAGCTGGATTCCTTTGGTCTTTAATGTGTGGACAGATTTCCTGCACTGTGTTTGTGACTCTTTGGGTGACTTATAAAATAATCTTATAAGTTATGTGTCCTGTATTAAACTGTTCCCCTTGCAAACCCCAAACCACAACACTTTCCTTCTTTTTCTTTCTTCCTTCCTTCCTTTCTTTCTTTCTGGCTTTCTTTCTTTTTCTTTCCTTCTTTCTTTCTTTCTTTCTTTCTTTCTTTCTTTCTTTCTTTCCTTCTTTCCTTCCTTTTCTTCCTTTCCCCTTTCCTTTTTTCTGTCTTCCATCCTTCCCTTCATCCCTGCTTCTTCTCCTCCTCCCTTCATTGCTTCCTTTCTCTTTTTCTCCTTTTTCTCATGTCATATTATGGACTGGTAGTTCTGTCAGCATT